TTTTTTTTTTAATTTTTTTTATATTTATTTTTTTGTTTTTATCATTGGCTACATGGCAAGTTATTATTTTTTTGCTTTCATCAATAGCTTAATAATTATATTAAAATAAAAACTAATCATGGATATTCATATAAATAGTGATATAAAACCTTTATAAAAAATAAAATAATATATTACATTACTCTTGGATTAATCAGCATCACTACAATATAAAAGTTTTAGGGAATTTTTTTGTTTTCAAAAATCAAAGTTTTATTACAAAAATGTTAGGAGATCAATATATGTTGTCAATAAATAGCTATTTCAGTCATCTTGAAAAATCAAAAAAAGAACTTTTAGTGACAAAATTTAGATGGGGTGGCTGTTGTGCGACAATATGAGCTTATTTCGGGGCTCATTACGATAATCCAAATCGTTCATTTTTTGAGTATATCGAGTATAACATATTTACAAAAAATCAAGTTAATCGGATATCATTAGCCCTTTCATCTACTCGCATTTATATTCATTTTTATACTTTAAATCAAAATTGTGTTTATTTTTGTGGATACAAATGCAATTCGATGAAATGATTAATGATATCCGATAAATTTATTTTTTACAAATATGGTCTACTCGATGTACTCTAAAATGTCAACGGTTTGGATCATTGAAATGTGTCTCGAAATGAGCCCATAGGGCTACACAACAGTGGTTGCTGTGTCTAATAAATGCACTTTTAGAGACAAAATAATTTCCTGCAAAGAATATTTACTTTTACAAGTGAACATTTTAATTCTGAAGAAATAATAATTCATCATTAAATGTCTAAACATCTAATAAATGCACTTTTGAAAACTAAGATATTTTATTTTTAAAAATTGATTACATCACTAAACAAAAAATGTTTTGTCACCAGAATGATGTGCCAATTTTAGTTTTTTAATTAAACACATTTTTGAAGGCCATGTACTTTGGAATCACTAATTTAAAGGAAAATATCATGAACCCCAAATAATCTATCAAATATTTTATCAAATTTTTCACATGTGCATAGAACCCAAACAAACCCACATGTGTGTAGGTCCTAAACCCATGTGAGAGATTTGGTAAACATTTAATAGATTATTTGGGATATCTAGTATTAGTCTAATTTAAAACTCTACTAAATCATTTTATATGTATAACATTATTTTGTCTTCTAATTTATTTTTATTTTTAAAATCCTAATTTATTATAGTGGACGTAGCTCCCATTAAATGCTCCTGATTTTGATTGATTAATTTTGAAGTTAATTAGTATGGTGTTTGACAATTGAGTTATTTAAGAATCAAATTCAGTCTCAACTATCTTTCTCAAAGCACGAGAGACACATGCTCATCAAGCAGTCCAAAGTCCAAACCAAGACCTTTCATATATGCATACATACAGAAATTTAATAGTGATTTTAAACTGATTTTGCAGCGTTACTTTGAATAGTTAAAATTTAATTTATAAAAATTGAAGACATAATAATTAAAAGTTAAGATTAAAAACAGTCATATTAAAAATTACTTTAAAATCACTTTGAAAAAATCGCTGTAAAGAATCATTGCTCCTTGTTTGTAATGTACTTTTATTAATTATACCATAGTTGTATGTGTTGCGATTTTTTCAAATTTTTCTATATTTTCTTCTTCTTTTATTTTTAAGAATTTGTAGTCAGTGTATTTAGTGCAACTTTAACTTTGAATTTATGAGACAAAATTAACTTAAATAAGTTTAAAAAGGTAATTATTTAAAAATTAAGAAAATATTTTTTAATCTCTACTTTTTTCTTACTAATTTCAATTCATAATTTTACATACAATAAAATTTTTAAAAAAATCACCTAATATGCCACCACAGGATACAATTGTGCAATTGGATTACATTGGAGAGAAAACAATATTTTTTGAAACAATATACAGACACAGAATTATATTTCTCTCTCAACAATACTCCAAACCTACATTTTTATAACTACAAATGCATTTACAATGATGTGATACCGGTGATAAATTATTATTAAGCCTATAATCAATTAAAAATTGACACTTATCAAATCAAATAATTGTGGCAGATTGGTGGGGTCTCAAATATTTTCTTCTCTCTCTTAAGACTGACTCTCTCCTTTTTCTATCTTATTTTCCTTCAATACCCACACTTTGAACTCAAACAAACACTGCCTATTCATAGATGATATAGGCAAAAAGACAAAGAAAGAGACAACAATTCAAATACAAATTGAATTCTACACGCTACAAAAGAATAGTGCGTGAGCAGCCAGGGTTGAAATAGATTTGGAGCTACTCTTTTTTAGCTTCTAGATTTCTATTTGGCCTTCCAGAAACTAGTTTACTTCACAAAATATAACACCAATGCCGATGATAGTAGAGGTGGAGGGATAATGGTTGTAGTTGTGGTGGCGGTTACAGCATAGTGAGAATAGTGATTATGACAGTAGTGACAATGGTGATAGAGGTGGAAGGTTGTGGTACTTGGGTAGTGGTGGTAGTAGTAGAAACGAAGATTGTGGTGCGGGTGTGGTGTAGTAGTGGTGGCAGTGAAATGACGGTGATGTTTGTGATAACGATGACAATTGGTGATGGAGCATGTGGTTGTGGTATTGGTAATAGCGGTGGCAATGATAGTAGTAACCATGGTGGCACTGTAATAGTGATGGCAATAGATGTTGAGATTAAAATAGTGTATGTCAATACTTATGTATAAATAATTATGAATTTAGACAACATTATGTAAGAATTTTTTTTTAACTTTCAGTCTACACTTAAAAGGGTCACTAAAATTTTTAAATAATGTGAGTTGTGATTATCAAATAAATCTAATTAATTTTTACTTAAAACATTAAATTTTGAATATTAAATTATGTTATCAAATACCATCTTACAAGTTCTATGGTCTCCAAATTTTTTTTATAGGTCATAAAATTTTCTACCCTAATAAACCATGTAATTATTGAAAATAGTGAAATTTAGTCAAAATTCTTCCATTAGATCATTATTTGGTGAAAAAAACAACTCAATTTATTTTGCTTCATAAACCCCTCAAGAAGGAAACACATAATTGAGTAAGGACTAAGTAATATATATATATATACATTCTTGGATAATATTACCAAAATAATATGTTACTGTCAAACAGAGTAATATGATATTGTTTACATCAATTTCGACGGTAATAATAAACATTTTTTTTGTAAGAATTTCACAGTCAACATAGATCTTATTTAATAGATCGTGATCAGAGGATTTTAAAAATATGGATTTTAATAAAAAATCGCTATTTATATCAAAAGTTATATTATTTTAGTAATAGTGGTATTATTACACTTTTCAAGAAAAAAATTTTAAGCTTATTCTTAATATGTTAAAATTTTATTATGAGAGAGTTTTGACCGAATCGCTATTGAAAATATGGTCCACACACGTACATCATTTTCAGGTCCCTAATTGTATTCATATAATATGCTAGATAAAGAAATTTGAATGAGGGAGATACAGATGAATGAAATGCAAAGAGAGCAATATACGAAAACAATTTGACTTATTTTAAGTTTTCATTTTAATTTGATAGAACGTTTGGATTTGGTAAGCTCGTTTTGAAAAAAATTTCGGTGATTCGAGCTTTTCACTTTTTTAGACTCATTGAGTAGAATATTTATGCAAAAAATAAAGTTGATTAGATATTAGTACCTATATGTTTGAATTACATTTATTTTTAAAAAAATGGACCACAAATATAATTTTAAGAATAACTATCCATTCTTTATAATATAAATTTGATTCAAACATATAGTTATTGCTATCCAATTATCTTAATTTTTTACATAAATATTCTATTTAACAAATTTTAAAAAATAAATAGTTCATATTAGCAAAATCGGACCTGTGATAACCTCTACAGACTTTTCAAATTTTCTTATGGTTGGATGTAGACATGAGAGTGGAAGGCAAAATCACCATTTACGAATCACTAGCCATTCAAACCTCAAGAGGTTGATGTCTTTAGCTTGGGTCAGGACCACAATTGATGGATCAAAATTGATGAATTCATACGACAGAAAAATCAAGTCAACAGAACCAATGGATTGTCCTAGAACTCATGGTCTGAGTTCATGACTTTGATTCTCTCTCCAAACACTACAAGAAAAAGCATTTTTGCCGACCACTTTTAGCTACCAAAGGCGACCAATAGTTTGGTCGCCAAAAGTGTCATTTCCTGTAGTGAAATCAGATGTAACCAAAAACAAAAATGTAATTTCACCAAACAATTCTCTTCTAGATAATTTGATTGGTGGTTAGATAAGTTTTCAAATTTTGCATTTCATGTTATTTTATATAAGTAATGATATGCAAATACAAAATTCATAAATAATTTTTTTGAATGATGTGATTCAATGTGGACCTTTCAATTTAAAACAGAATATCACTACAAGAATTTGCACATTTGGCGACTAAAAAATATTTAGTCGCCAAAGATGTCACTTTGGGCGACTAAAATATGTATTAGTCGGCGTTGGTATAGGATGTAGCTACTAAGAATTTTTAGTCGGGAAACATTATTTATTGGCGACTAATTTATTTTTTTGTCGGCAAAAATGTCATTTTTAGCGACTAAAATATTTATTAGTCGTCGTTAGTCTGAATTTTATGCTACTAATTTTTTTTTAGTCATCTTGTATTATTTTTTGCCTACAAAATAAATGTTACTAGCCAAAAACTAGGTATATTTTTATGGTTACTCTTTTGGCGACTAAAAAATTTAGTGGGCAAATATTATTTTTTCCGACCAAATGGAGATTTAGTCGCCAAATACTTTTGGTGACCAATAAAATAGTCGCCGTTTAATTACCTATGGCTACCAAATAGGATAGTCGCCAATAAGCACCCTTTTGCCGGCAAAAATTGATTTTAGTCTCTAAAGCTTGAAATTATTTAGGGCGCGAACTCTTTTATTGTTGCCCGTCCCTTTCTCTGTTACACAAAACAATAGTCAAACCTCTCAGACAAAGACAATCAGACACCAAACCTCAGAGAGAAACACCTTATCGCAACCCACTGTACGAAGGACATTGCCACAGCCACGGCTACGGCTACGGGTACGGCTATGGCCACAGTCACCGCCGTAAAGCACCACCAGCACAGCCACAGATCACAAGTTCTCTATCTCTCTCTTGCTCTCTCTCTCTCTCCCTTCTTCTGTTTCCCCCTTTTCTGATTGTGGCTTTAGGGTTTTATATGCTTGAATCAGTTGAATTTGGTGTTCATTTCTGAAATGGGTTTGGCTATTGTGGATTGATTTCTAAACTACTATGGGTTTTATGTCCGAAATATGGTTTGATTTTGCTAGTTTCATATATTTCTCCCTCTTTTTCCTTTCTCTTTCATTAGTTTGAGTATGAATTTGTTGCTGATATATGCACTTTCAAATTGTATCTGTAATTCTATTTTGAAAGTGCTCCATGTTTATTGTATTTGGATAGAATGGATGCATTTGTTTGATTTCTAAAATTAGAATCACAATTGGGGGTAAATTACAAATACACCTTTGCAAATATTTTGTAGTTTCGTACTGTACAATTTTTTTACCATTTGCTGATAAATAAGAATATGTAGTAGGTGAAAGGATATTTGGGTTGACTGACCTATGGAGTTGAATACTTATCAAAACTTTCTAAAGCAGCGATAGTTGATTTGGCTAACGGTTTCCCCATAATTTTGCAAATCAGTTACTATTTGGACCATCTTTTCACTTTGTTTATATTCTAGTTATGATCATTTTTAGATCTTTGATTTTTTTTTTTAAATTTGTTTTTATTTTTATAACTTTAGGGATCTCCTGGAGTAGTAAGATCAATGCTTTGGGACAGTGGAGTTGTATTGGAGAAGTTCTTAGAGCATGCTGTAGAATCAGGGATGATGCTTCATCAAGGTAAGAAGGTCGTTGAATTGGGATCTGGCTGCGGATTAGTTGGGTAATAATAACAACTATTTTTAAGTTCCATCTTTGTCATTATACCATACCATATGAACGGACAGAGTTAGTTCATGTTCCAGTTGGTGAAATGGCTTTCAAATGACGGAAGCAAAAAAATAAAAATAAAATTACATGGTTAATAAATAAGGACTTTTATTAGAATTCTAAGCTGATGAGATGGTAGACCATGTCTATAAATGTGATTAGTAAGTGCATAGCAAGATGAGTGGAATTTTCACTCAGATTTTTCTATATTTATTTACTAATTTTATATGAAAATCATTGCTTCTCTTATTCTATTGTGTTTCCAACTGCATTGCTGCCCTTTTGGGTGCTGACGTTATTCTTACTAATTTGCCATATAGATTAAGGCTGCTGAGGAAGAACGTTGGAACTAATCTGTACGAAAATATTCATGGTTCTGTAGTAGCGGGTCAAGTCATTTGGGGAGAGAAGCCTGTTGTAGAATTGATTCGATCATTACCTAATTATGGTACAAAGATCTTATATCTTCTCTTCTACATAACAAAGTTTTTAAAAATTGGTTGTTTCTATAACCAAGTAGATATAATGGTCCTGTTTGGTAGAGCTGTGGGAAAGTGCTTATAGCTTATGCCTCAACAGCTTATAGCTTATAACTTTCAGCTTAAGCTGATTTCCAGCTTATTCTTAAAGCATCTCCTGTCTCACTCAAAGAATAAGCTGATTTCTGACTTCCAAAAAGCTATAAGCCATAAGCTATAAGCTAAACTAAATACATTAAAATAGCTTAAATTAAGCTGAAAGCTGAAATAAGCTGTAATTAAGCTCTGCCAAACAGGCACAATGGGTTACAACTACATTGAGTGCCTATTACTGTGCCGTTACAACTGTTATGACTATTGTAATCAATTTTCCCAAGAACCAATACTAGTTCTTGGTTGTTGGATTTTGCACCTGGACCTTCCACATGGCGTGTCTTGACCTACGAATTTAGTCCCATGCTCCATATACATTGTTATCAAATTACCTAGTATTTGTTTAATGCTTCTAGACCAAGTAGTGATCTTTTATGAGTTGTTTTAGTGCTCATTTAAAGTTTTTGAATTTTAGAGTTCCTTTTTTTTTCTTTTATTCTTAATTTTATATAGACTCTTATTGTGTTTTTCTCTTATTTTGGATGAAAAAATTTTTGGGGTCGTATGTAATTTATAGTGAGGATGCGATATGGATTTATTGGCCACATTACTGGAACTTTGTGGCACCCAAACAATAATTATTTTGGCTGGAGAACTTCAAAATGGTACAAAATTTTAAGTTTGATTTGTTCTGCCAAAACCACGAGTGTTTTACATTTATTTAATTTTCATGGCACAAAGTGCTCAAGGTGAAAATTACAAGAGAATTAAAGAGAATTTTTCCAAAAAGAGTAGGTTGGGGGGTGGAATAGGTTAAAAGGACATAATGAATTTGAAAATGACAAAAGTAGGCAGAAAATATAGATGGTTGAAAATAGGACAATCTTGCTTTACATCTGCTTGTATTTTGTCATTCTGTACAAGAGTAAGGAAATAGGGATTACTTTATGAATTGCAGCTCAACTGTTACAGTACCTCTGGTACAGGGACTTTTGTATGTTACAAGGTGTCTCTTTGGAGATGTGCTGGGCTTTGTTGGGTGTGGTTCTCGTATGTAATAATCATGTTAGCTCTTCTTTGTTGCTGTGTTCCATATGTAGGCATATGGAAATATGAATAGTTTATGTTCCTTTGAAGAACCTTTGAGTAGTTCTTTTCCTGATGGTTTACAAACAATAAAATGGAGTTGAATTGGATTAATGCAAGTTGTTCCTTTAATCCCATCATTTAATTCACGGATCTTAGTACTGTGTGGAGTGTGCTTTGAATTGATTTTGATAAATGATTTATGTATGTGCCTCTTGTGCAATGTCAATGAACTAAATGAGCACATGCTGCAGAATTTATGTTGAGATTTGTGAAGAGATTAAGGTTTCAATTACTTTCCTTTCTAGTGGACACACTCTTGGGACTCCATTTACTGTTTGGTGGGAATATTGAAATGAGCCCTTTTTAACTATTCACATGTCTCTTTGGATTAGAATGTGAATAATTTTTTTTAACTGAAAAAAGCAAAAGAAATAACAACATAGTTGCATAGCTTTTGCAATCCCTACACCAATGATTTACATGGATCACTTATAAATGTAAAGCAATGTTGATTACGCTTTCATCCTGAGGAGATGCTGGAGGCTTTTGCCTACTGGGGTCTGCTTGTTAGTCTAGTATAGTTCACCCTGCACAAAAATGTGGTTCTTTTTATTTTGTTTTATATGGATTTTTTGTTCTTAACTATCCTACTACTTTTGTCCCTTAAATTCTGAGGTGATGGTACCATGGATTCTAGAGTTTGACTTATAAGCAGATCAATTTCTTAGGGAGTGTATAATAAGATCACAGTTAGATGTTGGTTTTGATGTTGAAATACCAGGTGAGTAGAATGGCATCTTGGTATCTGAGTTTTTTTTTTTTTTTTTTGGGTCATGCAGAGTTTCGGTGTTGTTCGAAAGATAATAGATGTCTTGAAGCTAAACAAATAAAATAGAATTTTTTTCTAGGAATCCACATTTTGGTACTTGTGTTTTGGAATGGAAAACTTTCCCTCGAGAACACTAATTTTTTATTTTTTGTTTTGAGCAGCCAAGAACACTAAATTTGGAAACCTATATTTTTTTTCTTATTAGGTTTCTTTCATAAGACAAAACATCAAATAATGTTAGGTGCATACCCAATCTTTTCCATCCCAAACACATTAATGTGAATAGGTTGTTTTGTTTGTTCTCACTTTCAAATTTAGGGAAAAAATTTAAAATAGACACCGCATTGTCCGGAGATCATCACGAGCACCTCACACTAGATTAAAAAAACTTGTAATAGCAAGTGGTGCGTTAATAGGGCGCACGACTCGAGAATTAGAGATAAAAATGTGAGGAAAAAAAAAGAAGGCAAAAACGAGCCGTTGGGTTGCAAAAATGCAAAACATATGCCAATCTACTTGAAGACCATCATGAACATCTCACTCTAGATTAAACAAATTTGTGAGAGCAAGCGGTGCATTAATAGGACGCACAATTAAAGAATTAGAGAAAAAATATGAGAAAAAAAGGCAAAAACGAGCCCCCGAGGGGCATAAATGCAAAACAGTTGCCAATCTACCCAAAGACCATCATTGGCACCTCACCCTACATTAAACAAACTTGTAGGAACAAGAGGTGCATCGATAGGACGTACAGTTAAAGAATCGTAGACAAAAATGTGAGGAAAAAAAAGGCAAAAATGAGGCATTTGGGGGTAAAAAAGAAAAACAGCCCCCGAACCACTATACAAATGTTACTGGTAGCTTCCTCATGACAAATAGGACCTGTGGGGACAGACTAGACGTAATTAGCACATGTAGGTTGGGAGTTGGAGTCGAAAACAACTTAAACTTAGTCAAAAAAAGGACATTTAGGGGGCGAAAATGCAAAACAGCCCCTGACCCACTGTACGGATGTCGCGACCAGCTTCCTCGTGACAAATAGGACATGTGACAATAGATGGAATAAAATTCACACGTGTAGTTTGCAAGTTAGAGCCAAAAACGCCTAAAACTTAATCGAAAAAGGGCATTAAGGGGCAAAAAAGAAAAACAGCCGCCTGAACCACCAAATGGATGTCATGGCTAGCTTCCTCGTGACAAATAGGACATGTGACAATAGACGAAATGTAATTCACACGTGCACTTTGGAAGTTAGAACTAAAATGCCTTAAACTTAACCCAAAAAGAGCGTTAAGAGGGCAGAAATGCGAAACAGCCCCCAAACTACCATATGGATGTCACGGCCAGCTTCCCCATGACAAATAGGACCCATGGCAATAGACGGAATGTAATTCAAACGTGTAGTTTGGAAGTTAGAGCTAAAAATGCCATAAACTTAATCAAAAAATGGAGTTAAGGGGGCAAAACTGCAAACAGCCCCCGAACTACCGTATGGATGTCACGACCAGTTTCGCCATGACAAATAGGGCCTATGGCAATAGACGGAATGTAATTCACACGTGTAGGTTGGGAGTTAGAGTCGAAAATACCTTAAACTTAACCAAAAAAGGGCGTTAAAGGGGAAAAATGCAAAACTGCCCCCAAACCACTGTGGATGTCATAGCTAGCATCCATGATAAACAGGACTTGTGACAATAGACAGAATATAATTCGCACGTGTGTAGACACCCCATTTTTGACCGTCCTCAAGACTTGGAAGTCACCATTGGAACACTTGGTGATTACCTTTGTTTGTGTTCGTCTTGAGTTCCCGGAGGTCTCGGTTGCGCGCCTTGCCTCAGGATCTCTTGACTCGACCGTGTTGTGTCTGGTTTTGCACCAAACACTTGTGTTTTGCCTTGGAGGGGCAGGGAATGCCTTGTGAGGCATCCCCACACATCACCGACCATGGCTTGAGGCCACCGGCCAATGATTTTATGCCATCAGCAATGTATATTGCCGGTCGGCATTCTTTGTTGCCGGTCGGCCATTTATTTTGCCAAAATGGCAATTTTGAATGGCCGATCACTGTTCATCTACTTTTAGTAGATATTTTGTGCCAGCTGTGATAGCTGGCACCCACTCTGTTCCCCTCCGTACACGTGTATGGAGGGATTTCCCTCTTAGATGGCTTGTTTTGGAAGCCTTACAAGACGGAGTTGCCTATAAGAAGAGGCTTCCTCTCTTGGCATTAGGGTTACAAAAATTTCAGAGGGAGCTCTGTATTAGGGTTAGGGTTGATACATAATTCCTATCTCTATATCTCTCTCTTGTGTGTGTCTAGTGTGTGTTTGTCCATACTATTGCACACAAACACATAGTGTTACACCTTCTCTTGGTTGTTGAGGGACCAGAGGGTTGTTCTTGGTGTTCTTGACTGGATTTGAGCTCAAGGAGGCAACAAGATCATCATTGGTCAAGGAGGACTTCAAGGGTAAGAAACTAGTCCATTTTTACCCCATTTTTGCACACTACTTTTACCTATCTTGCAACTATTTTTTGGCTTTGCATATAATACATAAAAGTTCTATTTTTAAGGCCTCTAAATAGTTTGTTAAGAGTGTTTTAATCTTTGGAGTTGTTTGACCCCTCTTAAGCCTTGTTTGGCCCTTGTTTTGTGCGATTTTGTGTGAGCTCCGGGACTTTGGTGTTTGGGCCTCCTCACCACTGAAATCTTGAGGGATTTCAGTGGTAAGGATGGTGCCTTGAGGTCCCAAGAAGGACAGGGCCACCCCCTCTCCTTGTTGTCCTTGAAAAGGACCATTTTTGCCTCTTGAGGGAGCACCTAGCTTAGGCTCTTGTTGACCATGCCTTAGCTGTTATTTATGCTTATTTTGCCATGAAACAACATTGTTTTAAGTTGGTTTTGGTGCACCATGCTTGCTTAGCATACATGCCTTGTAATGCCATTTTGTTGCCTTAACATGCCTTAGGTTGTAAACCATTGTCCTAGCATGTTTTAGGCTTGGCTTTGTGAAGCTTTCATGT